GGTCCTAATTTCTGATTTTAGGTGGAAACAAGATTTTTCATTTTATATAGTTCTGATAGATATAAAATTTTGTGTTTGTTGAGATTAAATGTATTTATTTGCGCGAATATGTAGTATGAAATATTGAGTACCCCATCGACCATCAAATTATATTAATTAAATCGGAGGAACATAGAATACTCCACCACCCTACCTGAGTAAATGATAATATAAATGTTCTGTAAATAGGAAAAATGTATGAAGAATGAGAAAATGTGACTAGGTGGATCTGTTGTAATTGGAAGAAATGAGATCATCCTCACCCGATTAAAACTAGGACACGAGAGGATGACAGCACCTAAATTTGGGTCAAAGCCCATGTATGTGTCCAACAAATAAAGAAAATTTGTTACATGTGTCCCAATTTAATTGAAGGGTAAAAACCCTTCGCTCCATATACAGACTGTGTAGGAGTGCCAAACGATATGAAAATTGTGCCTTACTGCAGCGTGTATTTTAGTCCCTTTTTCAAATTTTTGGTGGAAACGGGGCTGTTTTATCTCATGTAGTACTCTGATAGATATGGCGTTCTGTGCTTATTGTGATTGAATTAATTATTATTGAATGTCTAGCGCTAGAGGGCCGAAGGTGGAATTCTCCACAACCTAACTTGAGTGAATGGTAAATAGGAAATAATGTTTTTAAGAATGAATGAACATGCCAAGGTTTAAAAACTATATGAGTTGGGGCCTGAAGTGACCAAGTTGTCGACAACCTCTCGAGCTTAAATCTCTTTGGCGGAACGGATAAGTTTAAGGTTTGACCCTGGACCCTGCCAAAAGTAAGTGATTCATAAGCTCATTCAGTATATGTGTGCAGGCAGGTATGTGCAAAATTATCAATTAATCAATCAAAACAACAATTATCCATCATTTGTTGTAAAAAAAAAGAGGCCAAATATGTAGGCGTCACACTAGAAAAAACATTGGCATTTAAGGAACATATCAGCTCCACCATATGAAGGCGACACGAGCTTTGATAGTGTGCAAAAATATTGTGAGAAAAAACTGGGGATGTAGACCGGAAACCCTGCTTTGGACGTACACCTATTCTTACATAGGAGCTATAGTCTCAGGCGATAAAGTAGGACAAACAACAAAACGAAGAGGATTCACACAAATACAGAGACGCATGCTTCTGGGAGCAATGAGAACCTGCCCCACTGCCGGTATGGAGAAGATATTGGGACAGCACAAAAAACTATTATATATAATATTAGTATTATTAAAGAGAAACCTCCAACAGGAATAAAACTAAAATGGAGAGATAGCAACAACATAATGAAAGACCAATATTCATGGATCCAAGAGTCGATATGAACAGGATGTTTGAATTTAATCAAAACTTCCAAACAAACCTAGGTACCAAAAGAATGGGAAAAAGAGAAAAACACCTCTTTTAAAAATGGCACCATCTACTGGTAAACAAGCAGGAGTATTCGGTCCTGAAACGAAATACTAGGAACCGATGGGAAAATAGTGTAGTATATAGTATCTTCCAAGCTGAGGTTCAAACAATCGAGAAATGAACTCAATTCAATTGAATAAGAGTACAAAAATAAGAACATAGCTATTATGTCAGATGACCAAGCAGCCATCAAAGCCCTAAATTCAAATCGTTAGTTCAAAGATGGTATTGAAATGCAAAACCAAACTAAACATATTCGGAATGCGGAACAAAGTCAGCCAGGGCATATGGGAGTATAAGACAACGAGAAAGCGGGCACCCTTGCAAGAAAAGGGGCTGCTTACCGCTGAAGGACCTAACCACACTATCAATGAGTTCCCCAGACCGAAGGATAAAAAGAAAATGAGGGAACAATGGAACTCACTCATTAGACATAAACAATCCAAGGACCTCCTAACATATTTTGGAAGGAAAGAAGTAACAGAATGTATTACGGGAAGCAGGAAAAAACTATGAATCCTAACAGGATTCTTAACAGGAGACTGCAAACTAAATGGACATTTGAAAAAGATTGGCATAACCCAAATATGGCGAGTGTAGATTCTGCAAAGCAGTAGAGGAAACACCAACTAACCTATTAACAAAATGTGGCGCTACACTTAGAAGTGCTTTAGGACGCACGATGTAACCGTAGAAGAAATTCAACTACTGAAACCAGGCCTACTAATCAAACTCCTTGATGAACTTGGACTCACCGATGTGCTATAAACACAGAACTGGGGATACACTAGCTCTTAAAGGGCGGAATAATAAAATACACCCTTACAAATCATCTACATCTACAGATGCAAAATTGGGTTTATAAAAATCAATCTTATCGGTTTTTCATTCAAATTCAGTTCGAACAGATCAGACGTCTAAAAACTGAACAGCCAACATTAAACTGAATACAAAGGTGATATTTTTACAACTCTGAGTAAGAACTACATGGTATAAAACGGACGCAAGTTACAATTAAATTTAATACTACGGTAAACAAGATGAAATAATGTAAAAATAAAGCAAAGCTGACATAGACTAAAGAACGGGTACACCTTGGATATTACTTGATGTCCCCTACCATACGGGAGAACCTAAGACGTACATAGGAGTTCTATGAGCGGGAATTTCGTTGTTAATAATTTTCCAGTCAACAAAAAGCAAAGTCGAAGCCAAAATTTTTCCAAGTCCAACCCATCAGGCATTCTTTCAGTATAAGGGAGCTCATTACTATCACGTTTATGCGTTTTGAATAATAAATATTTTGATGCCCTCCTTTGTAACCCATTCAATCAGGTCAAGGTGATCAAATTATACTTGAATACTCCAAATGACTACAAACCAGTGTTTGGTAAAGGATTTTTTTAATAGCAAATAGGCTTCTAAAAACGCCTCCCCAAGTTCCTAAATGTTTTTTTAAAAGAATAAATTCAATATGGTCCCTAAATTTGAGTCTATTTTTAAAAATAGCACAAAGGTCTGAGATAGCATTACAATAGGATGATTGTTAAAACTGTAGCAAAAGATTTCAAGCTCATTCACAACCCTTTTTCAAAAATAAAATCTTCTAACCTACACTTAATTTCGTTTAATTTAAAGTTATTACGCTTGGCACCACGGCCACAATTTATAAGCGAACTGCCTCATTTTAAAGCATGGACTAGTTTTGGACAACGGATCTTAAACAATAGTCTTTTTAGCGGGTGGGCGACGACGGCACGTGAAATTCTGATTATAACAGACGTGTTAAAGATGCTAAACACATGGATGGATCTGTGAGGCAAATTATTTTACAAAAAAAATTTTTTCCTGAAAAATCGTTATTTGTATGTGTAAATTTAAAGTTGTCTGCTTAAAAAAATTTATATATTTTACAAGTAGATTTTTTACCACAAGAAAATCCTTGCCTTATTCAGGAAAAAATGTATCAAATCAAGTTTTCAATAATTTGACTAACATCAGTAGCTGTACCAGTTTCAAAATTTGACTTTCCGTTATTTTCGGGGAGATGGACAGTCAATAGACAAAACGTCTTCATTTTTCGGGGAGAAATTGGTCACATACTAGAACGAGTGATAAAATACAATGTAGGTGATTAACAAGTATTTGTACAAGCCGCACCCGAACAAGGAAATACCAGGGGGAAGAGGATCGGTGAAGTTGCTATCACCTCAGGTTCAGCCAGTCGTGACAATAGATTCTAGCAATGGAGGTTATTTCTACTACAATAGTTAAAACAATTCAGAAGAAACCACTGATATCTAGACACATATCTGACAGACGTACAAACCCCAAAGCTGATGATGGCGAAAAGCCGAAATTGATCTGTACTAGATGCCTAATGTATTAAATGCTAAGGCAATGTATATTGTTAGATATTGGAATAAGTAAACAACAAGTAAAGATTTAAATCTGTTTATTACAGTTTAAAATAGAGGGGGCATGGAACTCAGGTCCAACTCATGTTCATTGTTCACATTGCTAGTCGGTTTTCTGACCTTATGACCTGCGCTGAACTGACGCCCAGAAGCGGCTTGACTGATGGCATTGAGATAGTTCATATGCACGACGTCGCTAGTCGCTAACAGTGTAAATATACGTAGACGGCCATTTTTACCATCTAAGTCGATATTTTCGTTGCGCATTTTAGGTCAGACCTGTTTTATCCCAGTGATGATGGTAAAAAGCAGGCCACAACAACGGGACAAGTTGGACTCAGAATGGAAAGGAAACAACTAATTAAGTTAGTGCATTGCATTAGGTGCTGTAGGTGCTAGATGCTTTACGTATGTACAAAGAAGGTCAATTTTACCAACCAGGCGGTTGCACGTACGCAGAATTTCAGGTCAAACCTGTTTCATGATTTTGTGTTAATGTGAACAGGCGAATCAGGATCTAATACCATTAAGCCGGAGTCGTTTATGCTTGACAACATTCAAATTAATGTAATGGTAGAAACCTGAGTGGGAAATGTGCCAATTGGACACGGGTGCGCAGTGCAGGATTGGAAGCCCGTCCTCTCATCTAGATGGGCCGGCTTGGTCTCGCCTGTTTCAGATTCCGGGCCCCAGGGTGGGGGCGTAACTCGATTTCGAGACCGTAACCGTAAACCCGTTGATCCCCCGGTGCGAAAAGGGTGAAAGTGGGGAATCGACGTACGGGGGAGAGGGTAATTGACGGTTGCCGGTGATGAGATTGCACGACCCTCCTTCCATGGTGAAACGCCGCCGGTCTAGTTACTCCTTCAGTTTCAAACGAGAAAGTACACGTGACTCAACGCATCTGACTCACTTTTGTTTGACCCCCTTGGGCAACAGTGCAAAAACCACGGAATGCCGGATCAGTGCTCTTTTAAGCGTAGGTGGGAAAGATCCTCTTTTATCCCTTTACCCATTTCAGCCTCCTAACCGGTCATTAAGCCAGTATTAAAATCCCGAGGTGAAATCACTGAATAATGATGTTCTTAATTAATTCGCAACATCATAGAGGAAGTGGTCAGGATTGTAAAAGCTCACCTAGTTTGCTGTAATCCTTCAGTAACCGGGTACTCCTTTTACCTAAACAGAAATAATAAATTGTTAGTTATTGCTCCAAACTAAAAAAAATCTAATCGATACTCCCGCTGTGGAGAGAAAACAACTGACGAAACAGATTGAACAGGAAAATAAAGAAAACCACCAGGAAAAGTTTCGAACTGCTTCAACAAATTGGACAATTACTCGAAATCAGCAAATCGGACTTATATATAATTAATCAAAGGAGTTCGGAAACCCTAATTTTAACTAACTAATCAGACCCTTTAGGGGGATTAATTATTAACCAGTAAAACCTCCTCCGTCGATCCGGCGATCTTTATGTTTGTGTTATGCAGACGTCGGGTTTGAGGAATAAGGAAATAATAAAAAAAATCCATTAAAACCAAATAAAAAGACACGCCGGAGAATAAATTACACCTACACGTAAACTTTTAAAGGAGTGGGTGTGCTAAGTGGATTCGTCCACCCACCAACCAAAATCAAATTTAATATTCTGAATATATTTTTAGCAATTTTATTACTGGCTATTATTAGTTTATTTATTTATTATACCTACAAAGACAAACACCTAACAGTTGTATTTAGTTTGTTATTTTCTATAATAACTAGGTATAAAGATTAATAGTTGACTTAAAACATAAACACAACATTAATAACTTGTTGCTTACCGTTGTCGTGTTACTAATTCTTTTACACTCTTTATATTAAAAATAAAGAAAACCAGTTAAATTTCATCTTTTCCAGAACCGATTTGTCGAGTGAGTTTTTAATTAGATTTTTAAATTGTTTTCTTTGATGAAACAATAAATTGGAATAAAAAATTAATTATTAGTTTTTTTTTAAAGCATGGTTTAAAGTCGTGAAGTTCTTATCGTTACATAGCCCAAGTACTGGAAGTAGGGAAGGTAGTGGTCGACCGCGATGACGAGTCGATCGTTTTATTGTTCTTACCTCACTACAAAACCATCATTTAACGGCTTCCTTCATAAGTAGTCAACTCTAAACGGTCTGTAATGTAAGAGCGAGCTCTAAACATTCACGAAAGCTTCGTGAGGGGATCCTAGTATCTAGACGTTCTGCATTACATGTGCGCCGGTTTGGTATGTGGCAATCAGATGTCGGGAACGTTAGTGAAGATGTGGAGAACGCTTTGCTCCATGTCCCAAGCGTGAGTCACTGCATTTTCAAAGTTATGGTATGGGGTGGAATCATGCCCGTACCAAACTGATTATCATACAGAATGGATCTTTGACTGCACTAAGGTACATTGAGTAAGTTCTTCTGAAAGCTGTAGTCCCATTCGCTCTATTTATTGGGTACAACTTCGCGTTAATGCATGATAATTCTCGATCTCATGTAGCTCGAGTAGTCATCATTACTTGGAGGATGTAGGCATTACCACAACGAATTGGCCAGCACGTTCTCTTGACACAAATCCTATAGCACTTACGGGACATGATAAAGAGACGGGTTAGATATCCATTACTTCCAACAAGCGTAGAACAGCTTCAAACCTTTCTTGTTGAAGAATGGAATTCTGTTTTACAAGACGAAATCCCATCGCTTATTTATTCGATGACTAGGAGACCTAAGGCACTTTGCGAGGCCAAAGGAGGTAATAATGGAGCAAAACATCGACGAACAATAAAAATACATATAGTTTGAAATAAACAACAAATTATGAGTATCCGGTTTCTTTGACTTTGAGTGTATATTACGCTGGTGTGGATTACGCTATGATGACAGAAAACAGCCAAAGCCGGACCACTCCAAGTCCATCAACTACTTACTTGTTAACTAATCCGACAATTAATGTATTTAAACAAATGTTCAAATGTAAATTTTGATCTGCCAGATTGTAAATTTGAAGTAGAAAGTCTAAATTAGGTTGTTTTTGCCATTTTCATTCCATTGGTATTTTTTCCCCAGGATAACCAGGTAATTTTAATGGAAGGAGGGAGGGGTACAGATTAAATTTTTTTACGAGGGTTCGCAACAGCAGAGGTTATTATCAACCCTCGGGGTGAAATAACTAAATAAATTTTAAAAAAAAATTGTAAGTATGTCGGGTTCGAATGCAGGGCCGCTGGATTCGAACCCGGGACTTTTACCTTACAGTGATGTGCACCGTGTCAACGCCTAAACCGACGCCCCTCCATTAAATATTATTCAATACGAAATAACTCAATCCGCATCTTTACGTGTGAAATTATCAGATGCTAAATGAAATATAGATTCAGTTGCGCCTTGTTAATAACAGTTAATCGAGCCGGAAATGTTTTAAACAACCACCATGTGTTTGTCTTAGCTTATTTATAATGTTGGGCCAATTCTGTACGAGTTAATATATTAATAAAAAGCTATGATACTCGTATATTTGCAACGTGTACCAAAGCTTGTTTTTAGGTACTTAATAAGAATTAAAACGAAGACCTTTCTCTATACACTTATCAAAGGAACGACGGCTCTTCGCGTGCCCTCTGGTTTTTATACTACTGTTGAAAACATGTAAAACTGTTTAAATTACAGATAGTGAACTACGAGTATCCGTCGTGATTCACGTTTTCCGGCTGAGACCGGGCAGATGTCACGGTTGCACAACCACGTCGACCACGGAGCTGGTAGGAGACGTTTTTGGAAGGGGAAAGCGTGTAATGACTAGCCTTTCTTAATTACGACAACGGGAAAGGGCTTAAATTAGTGTCTTCACAATAAGAAACCGGTCCTAAGTTATGTTCGTCCATACCACACGTGGACGGAAGACCATTGTATGTAACGCTAGCTTGCCACTGCCTTTATAACATTAAGAAAACAAAATCTGACTCCTTTCTAACAAGGAAACTTCTCACATCAGGAGAACTTTGAATAGAAAGGTCAAGATCAAACTTATGTAACTCTAGGTTTCACCAACGGCCCGCATGGCACTCTGAACTTCATGAAATCTTTAGTGTTATCCAAAACTACTTACTGCACTGCCGAACAAGTTTAAACTAAAGCTGGACGATAAGTAGCAACCACATCACATACGCGACCTAAAGGATTAACTGGAGCTAAATTACAGTCGGAAACCAAAATGGTTTAAGGTATTCATTATTTTCTAATCAGATAAAAAAGTAAGGTTTAAAGAGATTTAACTTAAGGATTACATTTATAGTCTATTATTTCAGTGTGGACAGGACTTACCACAACTTGCACTTTGTGGTGGGACCAGAATGCTATTTCAAAAAGGGAAACATCTGGAATATTGAGTTATTATCAGTTTGAAAGTAAGTCTTGACATGATAAGTCGGCTACAGCGGTAGTGAGCTTATTGGTCTTCCTTTATCTCCTTAGATTATCAATCCAGTAGTTGATGTTTAATGATCTGTCAAATCAGATAAAGTAATAGAATTTTAAAAATAATGAAGTTTAATGAAACAGAAGGGTTAACATGGCTCATTTCGATAACGGGAGTTTATTTAAAAGAAGAACAAAGATTTCTTGCTTAACCTACTAGAAGAGTTCTGAACTAGTAGTGTGAGTTTCTGCAGTCTAAATGACCAATAGGTTATCTGAGAGAACTATAATTTTAAGCAAGCCAATTTCAAGTAACTATCCACTCTCTATACAATTTAAAAGAAATACAGTAAAAAAAATAAAATCAGAAAACCTGCGTTTATCTGGCTGTACCACTAGTAAATAAGACTGTAGTCTTGAGTATTGAAGACTTTTGGGGACTTAGTTTTTAACTTACAACTAAGTAAATTTCTAAAGTAGTAAAATAAGTAAAAGTAGTAAGTAAAGTACAAAGTTGGCTAAGGAAACTTGAAGTAACTACCAATTCTCATTATTTGTATTTTTTCCAATCCGAAATACCTACGATTTAGAGCAGCTTGAATGCCTTCTGCGGCGGTAAATTATAGTCCACCCATGGGACTGTGCGAGTATGATAATTTATGAAAAATCAGTATGCTTACGTTTTATCCGAAGAATATGGTCTTGAGTACTGAAGACTTTTTAGGAGCTGTTTCCTCTACTTTATCTAACAAACAAGCTGTACAATAAAATTAAGAAAATTTCTAGTAACCACCAATTTTCTTTAATTGTGTTCATTCAAATAAAATAAAACAATAAACAGTTTTAAGCAACTTTAATACCTTCTGCGATGCTAAGTTAAAGTGTACACCACTCATGGACTTAGCGACTAAAAGTATTAAACAATCTTGACCACTAAGTAAATCCTAATATTGCAAGCGCTAGACCGTTCTCCTGTGTAGGAGGATGCTGGGCCTTCTGACATACCAACACTGGCTACTCTGGTAGAGTCGCTTGTTTTTGAGGGTTTCGGATTGCTATGAACCTAGAATTTATGATGAAGCCCTGGGCATACCGACTCGGAGTTCATTAGGAGTAAGAAAAGATATATTCGATTGATCATGTGCTGGGTCGGAGGTTCAAGTCCTCCTTTAAACGTCGTACGACCGATATGACAGTAGATACTATCTTAAAATGTCCTCGCGACCTTCTCAGGACTTGATAGGAAAACTACAGGAAAAGGGCTGGTCTTGAAAAGGAGGTCTTGAGTATTGTGAACTTCTGAGGAATTTGATACCTATCAAGCTTAGATGTAAATTTAAATGCTCGTAAGTAAACATCAACCAACGGCCTATCTTTATGTTAAAGATAGTGAAGTAAAACCCACGGTTTCGATTAAACTGACGGTGCCGACCTTTGCTTTAAAAAACAATTTTTATCAGACTACATCAAACAGATTTATGACTGTAAGCTTCTTGGAATTATGTTCGTACAGACTGTTCAACAATTCACTAGTCCTAGTTCAACTGAGCTTAGTTAGGGTTAAACCCTAATTTTCTCGTGCATAGATAATTGCCACCAGTGCTTGATTGCGCCTATTCTTGGAAATAGAAAAACGACAATCTTAAGAAATATGCGAATGCTAAGCCCATAGAAGTCGTAATGGGCTTACGGAAATTTCTCCTCTATATTATTCATACATGATTTATTACTCGTGTTGAGACTTA